GGGTTAGTGGAGAAGTCTTACCAAGTAATGCGCGAGCACTGACGAACACACAGAAAGCAAACTGGCTATTAACAGGGCTATTTTCTGGTGTGTACTTGAGATACTTTCGTGTAATTGTTGCCGTCTCCGCCGCAGCGATCTGGCATGTCTCTGCGCTATGGGCACTAGGCATCCGTACGATACTTGTCCATTGAGGTGATGGGTACGCGATCTGCTGATGCAGTAAGATCATAGAGGTATTGTGAGTGATATGGGCCAATGTCAGGTTTGGATCCATGTTGATGATGGTTGGTCTTCGAGAGATATTGGAATCTTTCCATTTTTGAGGGAGGAACATCTTCCAGCTGCAATGGTTATGAGTAAGTTGTTTCAGGGCGAGAAAATGAGACGTACTGGACAAGGCGTAGGTCCAGCTCCTTAAATCTGGTAAGCCAATTCCCGACTTCTTGACGATCCCTGAAGTTAATTCTCTGTTGGAGAAAGTAAGTAGTAACTCGACTCAAAGACTCTGTCGCCTCGATGCAGTAAGCAAACGCCCCGACAGTTGTCATATCCACCGTGTCATTGCCCTTAGGCGCCATTGTGTTGGTCGATGGTGTCTCAGGTGGTGCTTCGGCGACTTGGTCAGGGCTTGGGTAGTGTGCTGGAAGGAATACAATCGAATTCCCCATCTTTGCGGCTGAGCGATCCCAGATACCGAAATAGGGAGTCAGCACTGTTTCTTCTTTGTGCCATAGACCTCCATCTGCTGGCAATCGTCTACGAACATCGTCGGATGTCAAGCTGGTGTTCCATCTGAGCTTGTAAGTATGAAGCGACTACTCTTTGGCTTGTGTCATCTTACCCAGTCATCACAGAGCAAAGCCTAAACGGTCAGCTGGTGTGTGTAACCATCAGATGGTGTAAGCCTACCTGTCAAGGTTGAAAATGCTCCAGAATACTCTCCTTCGCTCCTCTTCTTGAGTCCAGTTCTGCGATGGCGATAAAGAGGTCAAGGGCTTTAGTAAGGGTCCCTGCTGTCGGTCGTCTGTTTCAACACTGAGCTGGAGATACTCAACAGTCCTTGTAAGTGAGCCTATGATAGGCCAAGCTCTGGACATGTCTCCATTGCCCATCTGGAAAGATCCTGTTAGAGGTGCTTCCCAACGAATACAGCGTGCTTACATCTGTGAAGGCTATGATGCTCAGGGCTTGTAGGTTCTCGACCGACATGCCGTCCATAGCTGATAAAACCACTATGCTTCTAGATCTCGATGCCCATGTCTCTAGCTCCTTTTCAGATATCTTTCCATTCTCGGTATGGACAAAGCGAATGGCAGCGACTACTATTGCATGCAGCAGCACAGTGAGGCAGGGCAGTTGCTCGTGACTGTAGAAACGACTCCTGAAACGTGTCTCATGAAGTATAGGTATCCATGGCTGAACCAGGATGAAGTAGGCGTTGATGACTTCTTCTAGGAGTTCGGGCGGGGGTAATTGGCTTGAGGTGCTCCCTAACTCATTGAGCTGGCTGGCTAGCTCTATGTTCGGGTTCCCGCAGCTGTCCACTCTTCGTCTCTTTCGCGGTTGCTGCTGGACATCGTTCGGGGATGAGAAGACTACAGATCCCGGTGTCGCGTGCTGTACTTGAGCGATTGATGAGTGAGCGGGCGGCAATGACAAGGAGCCCGCCGAGTTGTGAACCAAGCCTCGAAGTTCCTGAATGAGACTTGAGAAGGCTCCAATAATTTGTGAAGAGTCAGATGAAGGAGCTGGATTGGGGGGTTGCGCGTTGTCGAATACCGTGTTCTCCAGAGCCTCTGATCTTGGTCAGTTGGGAGTGGAATTGTCACGCGATCTACGTACCAACTCGACGGTTCAAGCCTTCTATGACCCCAGTCTTGATCCCCGGTTTGTTCTTTTTCGTGTCGTATACACAAGGCGAGTCTACGCAAGTCAGTCACGATATCTCGTTCTTGGAATGTTTTGACATACCCAATCTCTGACAATGATTACACATTGGCTTGTCCCTGGAACAGCGGAGCTTTCGGCGCCGACATCCTTGACACGAGGGGACTTCGGGGTCTCCAGCGGCAGACCCATTGCCAGCTCCACCTAACTGCACACTCTGATGGTCCATTTTGCTTGTGATTGTGTGATTATAGAGTTCGCCCGCTGCCCGAGGGATCGCATAGTTTATGTAATAACGAGAGAGTTCGGAGAAGAGGAAGCGTGCGTTCGTGCGTCGATCCTTGACCAAAAACAAGCTCTGGATCATTTACCCCATGGGGATAGTGTTGTAAGCGAGCCAATGGTTGGATATCACCATCAGCCGATGATAGCTTCGGGTGTGAATGGGCCGACGCCCGAGGCTGGAGCTGTTCAATTGTCGAGAGCTCGTTTCTATCGTGTCGTGAGTCAAAAGTGTTGTGATGTGATGGTGATTAAGTCGAAGATTCCGTAAATTTGCTTCTCCTCGTTGAGCTGTTTAATCTCTCACTTTGTGTAACTCGAATTTCTCTTTCTCCAATCTCACCCGAGTTGAGTTACACTAAAATGCCGCCACTACCAGGGTTCTCCGACAACCCCTTCCAAAGCCGAGATGACTTTATTGAGGCCATAATTGCGTTGATCAATCCTCTAAAACAATATTTCTCACCTGGAAAATCTCGCGTCCGTATTCCAGTTGCGACAGGTGCGCATTTCGATGAGTCGGCGGCACAATTGGAAGGCTTTGCAAGGCCGCTATGGGCGATCGCGCCATTGCTTTTCGGGTATGACTCTATCACCAACAAGGATCTAGCAGCGCGCGTAGATGAGCTCGTTCAGCCATGGGTCGACGGCTTCATCGCGGGATCCGACCCTCATCATCCAGAATATTGGGGGGCCATGAATGACATGGACCAAAGAATGGTGGAGGCAGAGATGCTAGCATTTGCTCTCATAGCAGCATCGAAGCGCTTCTATGAGCCATTGAACGAGGACCAAAAGAAGAACTTGAAGAACTGGCTGAACTCAATTCGCGGCAAGAAAATGCCCCCGACAAATTGGCGCTGGTTCCGAGTCTTCTGCAACCTTGCTTTAGTAAAGACTTGCGGCGTCCCCTTCTCAGAAGTCAAGGAAGAGATGGATTCAGATCTCAAGCTGTTGGATAGCTTCTACATCGGCGATGGATGGTCAGCGGATGGTCCCTGGCAGACAGTCGAGCAAGCGAGACAGGAACAGGAGCTCGCGGAGAAGACTGGACGACGAGATGCAGTGGGAACAGGGCGACAAGCAGACTACTATTCTGGTAGCTTTGCCATTCAGTTCTCACAGGTACTTTACTCAAAGTTCGCCGCTGATCTAGATCAGTCGCGTTGTGAGATGTATCAACAACGAGCCAGGGACTTTGGCACTAATTTCTGGAGATACTTTGACTCTCAGGGTACCTAATTCCACAGGCATAAAAAGTGCTCACATTAAGCTAACAACGAATAGGATCTTCAATTCCTTTCGGTAGATCTCTCACGTACCGGTTTGCCTGCGGAGGCTTCTTCGGCGCTCTGGCGTTTGCCAAGGTGCCTAATATGCCTAAGCCGCTCGATTCACCAGCAGCAATCAAGGGGTTCCTAGTCCGACATCTGAGGTGGTGGGCACAGCACTCTAGTGACATATTCACGGCTGATGGGACTCTTACAATTGGGTGGCTGTATCCGTAAGTCGACCCTGATACTTAGTAGAAGTGTCACTAACACCAGCAGAAATATGTACATGGCCGAAGACTACAACTCTCCCCAATCTGTGTACTGGTGCCTCAAAACACTTATAGCTGTTGGCCTGAGTGCTGACGACGAATTCTGGAATTCCGAACCGCTTCGGTATCCGCCCTTTGAACCCCCTACACAAGTCGTCCGAGCTCCCCAGCAAATACTGTGCAACCACCCGCTTGGCAATCACCACTTCATGCTCACTCCCGGGCAATTCGTTGCTTGGCCGATGAAAGCCAATCAAGCCAAGTACTGCAAGTTTGCCTATTCTTCAGCCTTCGGGTTCTCCGTTCCAACAGGCCCCCTCATCCAACAGACTGCACCAGACAACCAACTGGCGCTAAGCCGAGATGGCGGCGAGACTTGGGCGGTCAAGTGGAAGTGCGATGAAGTTAAGTTTGGTACCCTAGTGACAAAGACGGATACCCAGAGTGTGGCGAGTGTTTCCATCGCGAGCGTGAGATGGTATCCTTGGGGCGATCGAGCCGTGGCTGTCGATACGATCTTGATCCCGCCGACCGAGCAATGGCCGGATTGGCATGTCCGAATGCACCGCATCCGATGTCAGAAGTCCATCGAGTCCCTTCGCATGGTTGAAGGTGGTTTCGCTATAAATGGCCGCAAGCATGCTGATGGGATGAACTTACCGACGCTTCCACTACCCGACGGAGTTGTCCCCGGCAGTTTCGAGGGAAACTTCTCCGATGAACGATCTACAATCATCTCATCTAGAGCTGGCTCCAGTGGAATTCTAACCGAAGCTCTTTTCGACAGACAAAGGATTGAGGTGGAGAGCTTCGCACTGAAGCCTGACTCCAACACGAACATCGTTTGCCAGCGAACATTGATTCCCGTTGCATCCGTAGGCATTACAAGAAAACTAGAGCCTGGTCAGGAAGCTTGGTTGAAGAGTTCGGTCTTTGCTATTTCGTCCAATCTTGGTGAGGGACAACACGGCGATGTGGCGAGCCTCAAGGAGAGATGGTCTCGACCTCCGACTATTGAAGTAGAGAGCTTCGAACAGATCTTGCACAATATGTAATACTACATAACAAATAATATGAAAGTATTCAAGTCAGAAAGAAGCACATGTTCATTTAGATATTGTTCTTCATAGTGGAATAATGACAGCAAGCATGCAGGACAGTATCACATTGTGGCAATTTATGCTTCTTAGCTTCCTGATTTCCTATCTTTACGCCATTAACGGGTACATAATCTCATGGAAGCATCCTCCGCAGACGGCAATGCCTAGTTGTAAACTCTCCATACTCAGTAGTCGAGCTCGTGATCCAAGGACTCGGCCAAGTCGGGCAAGTGGTGCTTGACGAGCCAGCAGTTCTTGATGTCGATGTTCTCGTGGGTAGGGATTCTCATGTACATCTTGAAACCATTTTCATGGAACTCCATGACCTTTTTGCGAGCGGCGTAGATGGCAAGCTTCTAGTTGTAAGCCATGATTCGCTGGTTTTGCTTCTGGTCGAAATTCTCGATAGTGGCATTGAAAGCCTCTTTGCAGTTGTTCTTATACTCTTCATAGAGTTGAACGTCCTCCCGCTTCAAAGATTTTCCATTGCAATCCACCCAAGATACATTCCAGTCCAGGGTTTCCTGGTTGGCCTTGAAAGCCAAGTAGGCTTGGTCCCACATGCGGCGTCCGGAAGTATCAAGGGACCCATCCTTGTTGACGATGGGTTCGAGGTCACGGATGAGCAGGCCGACATCTTTAGCATAGTCGTCGAAGGCTTGCTCAGGAAGGACAGGCTGGGGTCGGATTTCCTTTCCAGTCTCCCAGTTGAAGAACACAGCGGTCAAGAAGTAGTGAAGATCCCCGTACTTGGTGAGGTGACCTCCTGTCTTGCTATCGGGGTGGCTGAGCTCAAAAGACAGAAGGTACTTGTACAGGCAGTGAACTTCAGACCAACCGAGAGCAGTTGGCTGAGAGATGGCAGCGAACTCATCGCGGGCATCGGCGTATGCACCAGAGACACGGATGTGGTGGATTAGCATTGTGTTCATGGCAGGGGGGAGCTCCTTCGGATAGGTGCGTTGAGCAATCTTGAGGACTGTGCAATAGTCAGCTTTGTCACATATCGCACACTGTCGACTGTTGACTTACCGTCTTGCTGGTACTGGTCCTTGGCGACGGGATGATGGGCCTCTTTCTTTTCGTCAAGGGTAGTGGAGGGGGCATGAGCACTGCTGCTGCGGCTGGGGCTGGCAGTAAAGCCCTTCATGGTCTTCTCGCTGTCCATGGTGATGAGGATGGGGATGGGGACGAGGGGATGTTGAGAGAAAGAAGATGAGGGGGGTCAGGAACGCGGTTGAAATAGGTGGGACGACGAATCCCGTGACTTTCTGATTCACTGGGCTACATTACAGGGCTATTTATTGCACACAGGGCAACATTCAGGGAAGTGTCATTTATGCCGGTCGTTGATTCAGAGGCCTACACTAACCACATCTGGAGAGTTGATGGCGCTCGGGAATCTTGCTGTTAGCATCAGACTTGTCGGCATTCATTACTGAGGAACTCGGTGAATTTCAGGGGTGCCTGGTTGCTGGCCATAGGTAAGCCTTGAGCTCCCAGTTAAGTACAAAGGCAAGTAAAATGCCCCTTATCTTAGCAAATACTGTTTATATTGCGGCAGGATTACATGGACCATTATGCTTTGGATGTTTTAGATATGCTACGAGCTTTTCTATAAACCTTATCATGCCTCGTCATCAGAATATGCGTAGAATATCCTGTTTCTTCTCTCCAGTGCTCGGTCTCCAGCGTCGCCTTTGTCACTGTGAGTGAGATAATCCACTTTATTCCAAACATCCCTCAATCTTTGATCATACGCATCTTCGCGGAGCTCTGAGCGATCCCATATATCCCGGTATATCCCGGTTTCCTCGGGAGACTCTTCCGGGTCGACGCGGAAATCATTTGTCTCGTCAGGCAGAATTGGTAGAGAGTAATGGCCTGGCTCTTCGGCAGTAAGAAATTTGAGCAGCTGCAGCTTTTGCTCGGAGGTCAAGCGACAGATTCTATAGGTTACGTCTTCTCTGTCGGGGTGAATGTAAACAGCATCCTGGTCCACGCCAGAGCGGTCAAATAAAACGACACCACCGAGGATTCGGGACTCAGCCCAATACCCAACCATGTCTGCCACCCCGTTGGGATACCTGTGGTGACTTAAATACCAAGGGTGGAAGAACATCGTAGGTTCAGGCCCATCTGGGCAATGTGCCCACCAGGTCTTGTCAGACTTCGGTGGTGCCCATTCAATCACCCCATCGTTCTTGTGCAGACCCTCTTCAAGACTGAAGAGGATTACGGCAATTTGATGGATTGCTATCGCAATTATTTCGATGAGACGTGTGTTGAAGGACCGTGACCCTGGAGAAGCAGCTTGGTAAGCGAACAGAAGCTGGTCACAAGATAGTTAGTTACTACGATAGATACGAGACTATATGAGAATCAACACTCACCCTAGAGTCGAACTTTAGTACAAGGGGGTCAAATCTACTGCGGAACTCGCGTGTCTTTTCTAAAATCCCTGCGCAAAGCTCGTCGTGGCAATGATTGATGGGATGATCTTGGTGAGGCATTCCCCCTCTTGATTCAAACGCGACCTCGCCTAAGGGTAGTCCGTCGATAATTTGAGTATACGTTGTTTCTGCTATCTCAGTACCAAGAATCCGTGCAACTGCTCTCGTAACAATATCTCGATGGGTTTCATCAAGAACGTCTATCGCGAGTTGTCTGAATTCGGGATCCGTCTGAATGCTCGTGGAGCCGCTTTGAGCTGTTGACTCTTCAAGTTGTTGAGACGACATCTGGATTGACAAAAGGGCCTTTCGGCATGGATAAGTTGAATAAGAAGATTAAGTTTAGTGATGTGAGAGCAAGAGCTTTAGATGGAGGTTAAGGCGCTTACGATAGATACTTAATTTAGAAGTTGCGTGACCTAAGCGCCCAGCGTTACCTCTACCCGCCGACCAAAAAGCGGGGAGGGTGCAGCACCTACCCTGGATGCTCATGGCCTCGTAAGCTTCTCGACTAACATACACCATATATACCTTAGTAACAGATAGATGTTGGTTCTACATTTCTTCAACTTCGCGCCCATCAACTGAAACATGAATACAACCAACACGCAAACTCAGAAACTTAGAAACTGCTGGGAAGTGTAGCCTATGGGCGTGACTGACGCCAGGCAGCAGGACATATGGCCAGATTAAAGGCCAACAGAATCACAACAGTCACTTGGGCAGGGCACATCGGTGTCAAGTATAGTCAAAATGACTCGGCGGCAATTCCTTCAGATCCTTGTTTTGGTGAGATATCTCTACGTAGCTCTCTAATACAAAAGGAGACGATGCCCACGCTGACTTATCAACCTCAACAACCCATCTTCCATTGTCTTTTATCTTTGAAAGTGTTCGAATATCTTTTTTTGCTTCTTGCCTTATTTCCTTTGAATTCAATTCTTAGCGCTCCCCTCAACCCAGATCATCATGGCTACAGTTGGAAACCTACAGATATATTACGGCGCTACGGACCGGTATGAGCCTTTGCCGTCGACTTCAACTAGATTCAAAGTGGCAGAGGCTGTCGTCAAACTCGCACTTGCCATACTTGAAAGCCCAGAGGGGAAGGAAAGCATTGTTAAAGTTGCAAAACAACTGATCTTGTAAGGAAATCCAAAATCGAAGAAAAACCCCTTTGTCCATATATACCGAGAACCTCTTGAGGATATGGGCTACTGGGTTGGCAAGTTTCTTGAAAGTGTCAAAGAGGATTTCCCACTTGTTTACATATCGGAAAATGTAGCTGGTGAGGCAGAGGCAGAACGCCTACCATGGGGTCGTGAATTGCGAAACTATAATGCAGCGATTGCTGGTCGGGTATTTCTGAGTAAAGTTATCATCGACAACATGGTATATGCTCGAGAAAAACATGAGATTGCGGGGATTACGTACAACTTGTTCAAATTCCAGATGGGAATTTCTGTCGCACACGAAATCATTCACCTTCTGACGGGTTTCCTTACTGGTGAATCCCGTCCTGACACGCCACCGGGTGTCACGATGGATCCCTTTGGGTCCCGGGATACTGGTGAAGCTGGTCGATACTGGGAGGGGATTCTTCTCGGTGGTATCGTCGAGTGCTGGGCCAACAAGAATGATATTATGGGAGTACGACAATCCGGAACTCCTTATCTGTTTGAGACAGGACACTCAAATTCAAATGGATGGAGAATTTCTTCAACCTACATTGAAAGCTTCATCAATGGTGGTGAGTAGTCCAAAACCGATGAGCAGAATCATGATTCGTTTGAGGTCAACTGACATTGTGGCTTCCGTCTATTTAGTATTTTCTTTTCCTATCAGAGTCTCAAATCCTGCGGAAACCTTGACTCGTTCCAGTCTCAAGCGCGCTCAATCACAAGAAACGTCCAACCTTCGCACAAGAAGAAGGCAACGCAATGCGCCTCCAACCGCTTCTCCAGCCCCTGGTCATTCGAGTGCTAGCATAGCCTATCGACGCCTTCCTGCCAACTGTGAACAGTATCCTGTACAGACGGCCCCTGTCCAGTTTTATCTCACCCAGCCTGTGAACCGCGTACCGCCTTATTCTCCCTATTCTGAAAGTAGCTCGACCCGAAGCTATCCTCCTCAGGCTCGATCCTATTATCCGCCTTCAAGTGGATCCAGCCGCTCATACGATCCTTATAACAGACGATAAATGATATCGTCAAGATGCCCGTCGAAGCTATGCATACGTCACGGACATTGAGGGCTGTTAAAAATGGGCTCCACGCTGTTTCATTGTTTCCTTGTAAAAACCTGATTTTGGTTGGAATATCCTGATTTCCTTTATTCTTTGGTATTAGGTAGAAAATAGGCTGCATCCAATTGACTTTTATTTGGAATTAGGGTAAAATAAGGTTCTGTTCCAGCAGTGGGATACATCATTTGACTCTAGTAGACGCCATTCGTAAAATCGACCACAATAGCTTTCTCGACAAGACCACCGACCTGAGCTATGAAGGCTTGGTGAGCTGGGTCAGTCTTGACGTAGTAGTCACGGTCTTCTGCCGACTCAAAGGTTGCAACAAATCCATGAGTTATCCCGTTCTACTGCCTGTCAGCATTAGATTCACGCAAGGATGGTTGGGCAGATTTACCTGCATCCCCTCTGGTGAGTTATCCTTGCCACCTTGTAGTGATTTAATATAGGGCTTTTTGCTTGTAGGATGGATACACAGATCCTTCAGTTGAAGGAAATCATCACATGTCTAAGCGCAGTCGGTCTGTCAGTCATTTGGCCAAACAACGTTTGCTTGTGTCACGTACTCTTGTTATATCTTTTTGGTCGGCATTGTCTTTGAACTGAAAGAGCACAGTGTGAGTGATCGACATGTTTGCGGTGCCAGCTTTGATATGCTGAAGGAATGTTTGGTATGGTGCGGAGTATTCTGAGAATTATAGATCAAGACGTCACAGATAGGACGACAGTGGAAACCTTGGACGCCATGTTTTCGAAGCTTATTGGTCAAATACATCCTTTACACTTTGCATCACGTGGGGCATTTATGTCAGTCCATCTTCGGTACCATATGTCTCTCACTTTTCTATCAGTTTTGATAAAAGAAACAACAAACCCAATGGTAACATTTCCTGAACCTCATATTCTTCGCTATCAAGGTGTAGGTGGCTGACGCCATTCTCTATGTGAACAGTAACAGGGACGAAATATCCTCAGACCCCGCTCTCATCGACGCTGGGCTCATCAGCCGTAGACATCACCAATCGAGCCAAATCCTGACGGAGACTCTCATGATTTGAGAGTTGAGAGTCGCTAGATGTCCCAGCGGCCTCTTGTGCCACGGGTGCACCATACATCAGCCTGAGGCAGAGGGCGTCTGTAGGTTTCATGCGCTCGGCAAACTTGGGTATGTCGTCCGCGACCAGTTCTGCAAGTGCATGAAGTTCGAACTCGATCGCGAAGTCGTAAATAGCGACGGCGCGGGCCAAGAAGTTGGTCGACTTACAAATGCATCGACACTGGCCGGTGTGCAGATTGTAGAACCTGTCATCACGCAGGAAAACGGCGACGATGTCGATGATGCATGAACAACGACCGGTTTCAAGATGTCGGGTCCTGGAACTACTGCCTCTGGTGAAGTGCTCCTCGAAGTATGGGTGCTTCAGGACATGTGAAGCGGGTATTTTGATTGACTCTTCCGTGTTGTTGAAGATCTTGTAACGCCTAGAGCTCGGAACAGTCAACAACCAATCAGAACATGGTTCAGCCACCAGGTATGTACTTACGGAATGGTGATCGCCAGGTTCGCCATGCTGCGGGTATAGTCTCCCGGGCCCGAAGCGATGTGCGAATAAGCTATGGGACTTGCGTGCTCAACCCCCTGTCGAGTTGAACTAGGCTTGGTAATGGTTCCGCTTTGCCTGGTTGGTGTACTGTGACTTGTATAAGAACGATTAAGAGTACGTTTGATTCTGTTTAAGATCTCAAGAACTTCAATTTGGCTGCGTGACGCGTTTCGTTATTGTTAGAAAATCGAGCTTAAGGAGGAAGATGGAAAACAGAAAAAGTGGATTCACTCTGTGATTCTATCATTATCAAGCCAGGCTCACAGCACTTCGTGGTACGCCATTGTATTAGTGGGGCCTACCCAGAAGAGGGAAACGAATCCTACCTTTCTGAGTCTGAGAATTACTGATATCAAAGCCCCAGCTTTCGGTTAGCCTTGTCCTCAACTTTGCCCGTCTCTTCGCCAACCCCCACGAATACAACGCAGAGGAGGTGGTGCTGCCACCTTTGACGCCACTTTCCGAGCATTAGCAAGCATTATGCAGCTAGAAATCGGATATATAGAATGGAAAATAGGTCTAGACCATCTACCGCGGAAGCATTTGTTACTGGCGTTGAGTATAATCAACGTGGGTGAGACTCTGCAAGAGTATATCACTAATTCTGTCTTGAAAAGCTTTATTTCTTTCCCATCTATATAATCTGCTGTTTATGGCTAACGGTTCAAATGGTGATTTGTTCTTCAAGCTAGGTATGAATGTCAGCCCCTGTCGATATCCCAGTGACTTGGCCAATTGACACTCGAGCACAACCAACGATCGAACTCGCAAAGAGCTTAAGTATCTGAGATGAGAGCATTATTTACATATCCCACTTCGGGTCCGAGTTTTCTGTGCGCCATAGTCAAAGATAAGGGACCCCGACCATTATTACCGTCTAAAGCCAAAGGTGTCATCAACCCCAGAATCACGCAACACCCACCATATAGCACGTCCCGGCGTCGGCCAACCATTCCTACCAGAAAAGACGACCCGGATAATCGCTACGACTGTCTCTCGATTAAATCGCCCCATAGTATCATTCACTTCGGCCTAGTTGGGTAGCAGCGACAACGCCCGTGGACCCCATCTCAATTGACGCGATTGCTAGCAACAATGACTGCATACCCACCAGGCGAGACGCGGCGTATAAAAGTGAAGTGCAGATCTCACCAAGCCAAGTGCAAGGTCTATTCACACAGTGACTTTCTTGTGTCTGTCTCGATCCAAAGCCACGCTGCGCCAAGCAACAATAGGTGCCTGCCAAGCAAACGCCATCAGAATGGCTGAAGTCAAACAGACGACTGCTGTTGCTGTCGATGATCGTCGCTACGATCGAGATACCGATAACTCAGCAACTGAGTACGAAGAGAGCGAAAAGAGCGGCAAGTCCTGGAAGAGCTATGTCTGGGATACTTGGGAGTTGCCCAAGGAGCAGCGATGGCTTCTTTTCAAGGTTGACGCTTTTGTCTTGACCTTTGCTTCCATTGGGTACTTTCTCAAAAACATCGATCAAACAAACGTCAACAATGCGTTTCTGAGTGGAATGAAGGAAGAGCTTAACATGTATGGCAATGAACTTGTTACTAGTAAGTCACCCATTCTAAAGTTGCTCTGAGCCCAACTAACTCTCGACAGGCACATCCATTTGGACCGTGGGTTATGTCGTCGGCCAGATCCCATCGAACTTGCTTCTCACTCGAGTATCCCCTCGCTGGGTCATCCCGTCCCTTGAAGTCGGTTGGGGCATTGCGACTATCTGCACTGCATCTGTTCAGTCATACAAGGCTTTGTACGCTCTGAGATTCCTTGTTGGTCTCTTCGAGTAAGTGAATACACTCATATTACAGCCTTCGGGGCTCGATTGACTAACATGGCTCCAGATCCGGTTTCTACCCTGGTATTCACTATATGCTAGGCTCTTGGTACACCCCTCGTGAGATCGGAAAGCGCGCCATGATCTTCTGGTTGGCTGGTAGCATTGGTCAAATGTTCAGTGGCTTCTTACAGGCAGCTGCGTACACAAACTTGAATGGTGTCCACGGCCATGCAGGCTGTAAGTTCTCACTCTTCCTCCTTCGGTGAGTAGCGCTGACTATGGCACAGGGCGCTGGCTCTTCATCATCGACGGTATCATCACCCTTCCCCTCGCAGTTTTGGGCTACTTCTTCTTCCCCAACCTTCCTCAAGATGGAGTCAAGACCTGGTGGACTACACAAAGGGAGCACGAGATCTCGGTCGAACGAATGAACGCCATCGGTCGGGCTGGGAAGGAGAAGTGGTCAAAGGCTAAGCTAAAGTCCATTCTCCTGAGTTGGCACACATACTTCCTCCGTAAGACACCATCTGCTACTGGCCTTGCGTCTTGTACTGACCTGCGAAATAGCTATGATCTACGTCCTCTGGAATAACGCATACCCTCAGCCCGCCATGGGATACTGGCTCAAGAGCTTCAACGCTGATCCTCCCCCTGTACCCGGCACCTCGTACTCCGTCGCTCAGATCAACAACTTACCTCTACCAACCACTGCAATCTTCGTCGTCATGGCTCTATTCTGGGGCTGGCTTTCCGATGGACCCATGAAGGGTCTCCGATGGCCTTTCATCTATGCCGGTGCCATAATCGCTGTAAGTTCACTATGGTCTCGGTGTGTAAGACAGACAACGACTAACTACTTGACAGATGGCTTTCAATATCGCTCTTCTCAAGATGCCCCTTTACGGAAACAACAGAGACCGAACTCTTGTTTACTGGTTCGCCAATATTGGTGTAAGTCTCGTCTGACCCACTGGAGATAAGCAGACGTGCTCACAAACCCCTCAGAACGGTGCCGGTCCCCTCATCCTCAGCTGGATCAACGAGATCTGTTCCGCCGATACCGAAAAGCGAGCCTTGCTAGTAGCTGCAGCTAACGACTTCGCCTATGTGGTCCAAGCCGTGGCTCCCAACTTTGTTTGGAAGACTACAGATTTCCCTAGGGCTGCAAAGGGCTATACATGGTCCACCGTTCTCAACGCTCTACTGAGTAAGTCAACCGAGATCCTGATATTTCAACTGGTTTACGCAATACTAACTGGCCCATTAGTCGTCTGGACTGCCATTGTTCAGCTGCTTCTGGCCTGGGATAGGAAGCGGCAAGCCAAGGCTCGGGAAGTGATTTCCGAAGACTCCGAAGCTAATTCTCAAGAAGAGTCGCACGATGAGGGGAAGATTTCAGCGTACCCTGCGGAAAAGAAGACGGATCATAGCTAGTGCTTTTGCGCCAGAAGATTGGACAAGGAGACAGCTCGTAGCCCATTGGTGTCAACTATAAACCATGAGGCTAGCCATTATACCGACTTCTTGAATCGTTAGATCATCCAAACACAGCTCTACAATCTATCAGGCGATTTCAAATCTTCGTTTAATACTCAGGAATTAAAGGCCATTGGTGATTTCTAGAACCTTTAAACCACAGGCAGTGGCTTTTCATTTTGCTATTGGAAGTACAAAAGACGGGGCTAAACCCCTTCAACAATCAACAAGTCTCTGGAGCACACGCAACAGCATCACAACCGGTAGCCTCCCAAATACTTATCCCTTCCAAGCTTACTTCATTTGACTAGAACCGAGGTATCTCCTGGCACCATGCTCTTGAAAAGACTCTCGAACTATCCCCTTCGCGCCTTGAGAAGCACAAATAGCATCTTTTGATTTCTGTCTCACTCCGAGGACGCGACCTCTGCTTTGGCGGAGTTCCCACAGTTCACAGAGGCCCGTACTTCTCTTCGTACTGTTGGAGCTTGCGCTTCAACTCGCTCACTTCCGCTGGAGTGATGTCGTCGATGTTGTCTGAATCTTCGACTAGTGAAAGTCTTTTGAGCCTGGCGACGGTATCCGCCATGATGACCTCGTCGGTCTTGGCAACTCTCTGGGTGAAGTAGTCGGCCAAAACAGCCTGGTGGCCATGAAAAGCGAAGTTGACTCTTTCAAACATCTCCACGAGGTCTAAGACTGAGAGTCGGCCAGCCATGCTGGTGAATTCTCCAAAGGTGAGTCCAGCGAGTTCGTACATTTCGTAGTCCAAAGCAAGACTGTGGACCGACAGACACTGTTGCATCCGGTTGTAGTAGTCCGTTGATCCGACCCGGTCCTCTGGCTTTTGGCTCTTCCATTTTCCCTTGCGTAGATAGCTCATGAAGTCGGCCGTTTGTGTGTCGTTCAGCCATTTGAGCTTCACGACATCTCTGTCCTTGTCGTAGGAGAGCCTAAACTTGGGATATTTTTCCAAGAGATGGACCGGAACCCAGTACATTGAGTTGTCACCAAATATGATTCGGACGGTGCTGAAGAGGTAAGGACTAGTCTCTGGTCAGTAAAGATGCTACTAAATGATACAAGCATGTAGCTCATGCTACGATTACTTACGACTCGGTCAGGCTGCTGCCGTGCATCAAAACACCCTGCCCTTCCATCATCAGGGATTCTTTTGATTTTGTTTCTAGTCTTGAAAATTGAATGGATCGTCGCCTGGCAAGCTTAAAGTCAGCGCAAGGTCGTATCAAGTTTTACAGATGCACTAACTCTCGAGATGCGGAATCGTTTGAAGAGAGAAGAAATTCTGGGGGGAGCAATGATAAAGGGACGTAATGCAGATGTGGGTCTTCAACGACAGTCTGCAGCCATCCCTGGCATAGTAGACGAGTGAGCTAGCATCTTAGGGGCTACTAGACCATTAATGAGTCCTAACAGGAAAGATATTGCTGAGGTTCCAAGGCTGTAGTAAACAGATATACACTTAGATTACCGATTTTTGGTCATAACTTGCATGTGGCATATTTGGCTGTTAATATAGTGAACCAACATCTCTTCCTTTTATTACTTTTATTACTTTTATATGGAAAGTTCTATAACATCGTTGATTATGCAGCTGATGCGGACTGTAGGAGGGCAACAGACGTGCTCGTCAGTGGAGCCAATAGGAACCGTTGCTCGTCAGCTCAGGCCATAAGCTAAGCGCGTCTTATTCCCCACCACTCACCTCTTTTCACTCACTCACTACCTACCAATCTCACCATTAACTTCATGTCATATTAATTGGTCAACTCCAACTACCTCAGTCTCAGCAATGGAATCTCAAACCGGCACCTCCGAAGCCAACCAACCCAACCGAAAGCGTGTCATCACAGCTTGTCTGACCTGCCGCCGTCGAAAGGTAAAGTGTGATCACGGACAACCAGTTTGTTCACCGTGTAAGAAAGGAAGCCGTGTTTGCACTTACACAAGCCCTCAATCAGCTTCACAGTCTTCTCGTCTTGGAAGTGGGAATCGAGTATCAAGAAGCAACCGACAAACTGGTCAAGATGATATCAAGAACCGCCTCGAACGATTGGAACAACTTCTTGAGCGCGCCCTCAGTGGCGGCCCTGCTACCTCACAAAACACGACTAATACAGCTTCCAACCCGGAGCATTCCAAATCAAAGTATCAAGGACTGGGCTTTTCGGCGAATCTTCAGTCGGAAACATTATCGACCGATGGTTATGATGGCGCTTTGCTCCTTGAAAGCCAGGGCGGTCAATCTCGCTGGGTATCATCTCTGCACTACTCGCTCCTGGCTGATGAGGCAAGTTATCTTCCTTAGTTGAGCTTCTCTCTAACAGATGACTCCAGATTCGTGATGTCAAGATGCTGCTCGGAGGGCGGTCTGGCGATGCACCGAGAGAAAGCGTGCCGATAATTCGCTCAGAATCCCCCTTTCCATTTTCGGGGCCTTCGACGAATGACCTTAGGATATGGGCGCCGCCTTCAGCAGATACATGCTTACTTCTACTTGATACATTCTATTCTAACGTTGATCCAATGACTAGAATAGTTCACAAGCCTACGCTCAAACGACGACTGGTCCAGTATATCGACTACACGTACGGCCTGAACGCTTCAAGCTCTGAGGACGAAGAGTCTTTGGTCACTCACTCTGGCGAGGATATTCATACTTTCGAACCATTGGCGTTGGCTGTCTTCTATTCAGCCATCAATAGTCTTCCGGCTGAAGACGTGTTGTTGCAGTTCTCTGTAGAAAAGGAGACACTCCTTTCCCAATTTCAACATGGCGTGCAAGTTGGCCTGGGGAGAGAGAACTTCTTGACTACATCAAGCATTGAAGTGCTTCAAGCTTTCGTCCTGCTTCTGGTGAGCGTGTAAAACTCCCATCTCAAAGCCATGACCTGGCTAACTTGTCCCTAGACCTGTCAGTCGCGAGAAGATGACATGGCAAAAACCTGGACACTGTTAGGTCTAGCTCACAAAATGGCCCTCTCGCAGGGTTTGCATAGAGAACCCTCGCTATTCACATCCACAGGCATGGGCGTCGTCCAAGTTGAGATTCGCCGCAGGTTATGGCATCAGATATGCCACCTCGACTATCGCTCTGCAGAAAGCAGGGGTCAAGAGCCTACTATATCAGACGAGGATTTCACTACCTTACTTCCACGAAACATATCGGATGATAACCTCGTTGAGGGGAGTTTAGAAAAGACATCTACAACGCCTGGGTTTACTGATATGACAGTTCACTTGATCCGTCTGTATGGACATCATTGTTTTAGAAGAATTGTTCGGGGCACTTATAAGCTTGAAAGAACGATGAAATCACAAGAAGCTAAGAACAATGACAACACAACCCCGGTTGCCAAGCTTCAGTCCTTATTCGAGGAAGTCAGGGGCATGGTGAATGAGATTGTCAATCATTTCCAAACACACTATCTGCAGCACTGTAATCCACATATTCCAGAGCAGAGAATGGCAATTGGACTTGCAACGGTAGTCGAATGGCGGTGCTGGTCTATCTTCTGGCTGCGAACACCAAAGCAGTACCGGGAGTCGGTGATTACCCCTGAAGTTCGACAAATGTATGTGCATTCCGAAACTATACTACGACGGTTCTTCGACAAGAACAGAGGCTGACGTATACTCAAAGAATATTAGAGAAGTCAGTCAACCTCATCGAAAGCTTGAACACTATGCTAGGTGATAAGGACGCCCAGCGGTACGGATGGCACATTGGCGGTCATGCATGTTTCCAGCCTATCATGCATATTGTCTCAGAGCTTGACATGCCCAATTTCGATGCTCCCAATCGACAAGCACTACGATCACGAGCCTTAGACGCATTGAGAAAGACCATGCTAGAGAGGGGACAAGAAGCAACACCGATGTGGAATGCGATGAATCGTATCATCTCAAACTGCCTCGCTAAATCTGCATCGAGACCCTTCCCAGTGACACCATTCCAGGCTACACAGACTGAATTGCCCATTAACGAAACGACACAGGGGCTAGGCTCTTCTGCCGCTGCGCCGCGCCCAGACCTGCCAATCTTCGGAGTCGCACCGTCAACTTCGTTGCCTGACCCCATGGCATTGGGGAGTATAGAAATGCTGGAGCCTGACATTATGTTTGACTGGGTATTTGAACTTTTATCCCTCTGAAAGAATCACTACCGCTGACAAGATTGACCAGGGCTTTTGGAATATCGATCCTGCAGCTCCTGGGCCGTATTGAATGCCGCTATTCAGCCTGCCTGAAACCGATGTTTGTAACCCTCGGAATACGACATGTGTACTTTATAGGTTAATTCCCTAGTGGATTGATGACTTAAATCGAGTCCTATCGGGACTCTATTGTGTTGTTGGCTCTTCTAATAGACAATCATAACTCCGTCTGTTTTTGAAGATCATGAGGCCAATGTTTGGAATTGCAGACTTGTTCGATTTCGAGACTCGGGAACTTTGGCGTGCACTCCTATGTGAATCTGTCAGTAAAGGTCAAGTAAATCTCAGATGTAATTTATAGGACATCTGATATCAGGCTGTCTGAAACACCGCTAGAGGTCGGAAAGCTGTACGTTTCTCTAGCTTAAGCTCCAGGGCGTATATGTGTGTTTTGGTTGTACCGGCCGCCGGGCATCAACTTCAGGGACGTATCAACGCTTCACTGGTCTTCGCCTTGCATTAAATCTCCTGTGATTATCTCTGAAATCAGCAGCTGTCCCCCGAGCATAGCATGTCTGGATGCCTAGCCGGCCTTGGCCAGGGTTTCTGGATTCAGGGGCTGAGGAATGCGTGACAGTGCGTAGGTGATAGAGAATCAAGTATGGTAGATGTAATATCTTTCTATTTTGTCGTGTATTTCTTTCATGCTGTCTAAGTTGCTTTGTGAATTGCCTGATATTAACTTGTCTTGTTTTGCAGAGTGTTTGGTGGCTTGCGTTTGAGGCGCTGACTGAAAGGAAAGTGTTTAAAGGCAAACAGGGCTATTCTCAGACCCGACCAGCACAGTAGTGAGTGAATTCAACAAGGCTACAGGCTATAAGGGAGACTCACTACTGACTTGGTACCTTAGGGGGTGCTCCAGTGGGTTGGTAGTCACATCTCCTAGTGGAGATGCAGCCGTCCGGCCCACCACAGAGCTCAGTCTCACAATAAGAAGAGGGCCAAGCAACAAGACTGTGCGTTTGTGTTACACCAGAGGCCCCTATCCCTCTATTTCTGCCCACAACTTTTCCTTCTTCTCCTCCTTCTCACAACACTCCTCCACAAACTCGGCAACCTGCTTCCCGTGCTACAAGAAAATCAAAAATCTACAGCAGTCACCATGTCTGACAAGTCCCACAAAGGCAAGCAGCCTTCTAGAGAGGAGGCTCAGGACAAGTCGGATAAGCATCTCGTCAATTCTGGTGGTCTTGAGATCAAGGCTTCATCCAAGGAACAGCCCGTCGAAGCTGGTAGCTCTTCTAAGAATGCTTCCGTCCCTCCCGTGGGTCAGCCTCTGTATGTATCAGTCTCGCCTCTTGTCGTGTTCTCTTACTGACAATAAGCTTTAGTCCTAATGTCGAACGCGCTAAGAATGCTTCTATGGTCACCGTGAGCCCGCGCCTGTATGTATCTGTGCCATCCTGCTTCACTGACCATTACTTACTATCAAACCTAGTCCTGCTACCCACGTCACCGTCATCATCCGTTTCCCCCAAGGCGACCTCTGCTTGCCCTTGTTTGTTGTTGGCCGCTATCCCATGTTCGCAGAAATGTTTCAGGGCGGTATTCTCCAGTGGCCTGGTGTTTCTCAGCGTCAGGCTCAAATCATCACTCACTACCTACGTGATCCTAAGCCTAAATACAAGATGGTTCCTTACGACACTTCGGCCGAGCATGAGGATAGACTGGACCGAGAGTTCGTCGATGCTCTTGTCATCAATGCTCAGGCAACTTCTTTCAACCTTCATGAACTAGCCGGTCTGGCTCTGGATCACATGGAGTTGTATGGGGTCATGATTCCCCTTACCAGGGTCACAGTCAACTTCATGGCTCAGGGTGAATGGTACCAGCGAAACCGGGCCTATGTTCAAAGCTACTTGACTCGCCGTTCCACTTCCGCCCACCCAATGGCTATTCACCATGACCGCATGGGGTTCGGACTCCAGACTGGCGATGCCATTATTGACGGCCTTCTTGGTGCAATCAACAACCTCCGCTTCGCTGTACCCTACCCTTATCGCTACTACTAAGTCCAGCTTGACAGGATACTGGGGTCCAAGGTAAGGCTACTGAAGCTGTTGGTGAAGCAATTCCAAAAGCTAATCCCGTTCAGGATTCGGAAAGGTCACCTGAGACCAGCGGACTGCGCACATGTACTTGATCCTGATACAGGATGGGACGGTTGGCTTTTCCATTCAGGTCAGGGCAAAGTCTAACGCTCTCTTCAAAGACTGTGATGTTACCAGAGCTGCCTTGAGCAGTTCTTGGCTTCATACCTGGCCTCATGGCATAAATATCTTTATACCGCCGCCAAAAGATAGCGGCCTCCAGATCGTGAACTTCTAGGGTTGCCGGGAAGACTACACGGTGTCTAATATATGGTCTTCTTCTTGTGCTATAGCACATTGGGATAAATAGACTACCCCAATAGACACCCTGGATTGCATTTATGGCTCAATGGCGTGTTATTTTGATCCAAGTCGGATCCATTGTAAAAAGCAACTAGCTGTCACTCCAAGTGACTGTCATTAGGTTTCCATAAATCCGATTACCTTGCAAGAAATAATTAATGAAACTTACGAAAAGTAGTAGGTTATCCTAGATATCTTTCATGGGGCATTGGGTTAAATGTGTCTAGAATAACTTAATTATCTAGCTACGTGGGCCCTGATGTGACTCCAACACTTTTACAAATCCACACTCAGACGTTACGATAACTACCCCAATAATTATGCTAGGTTCTCATGGGCGATTCTCCTGAACTCTATTAGGCAAAGTGATCTTCATTAATAGACTATCTGCTAGAATTATTTTCACCTGTTTCTCCCCGACAATCATAGCTCTCGCCGTGCCGTGACCTTCTGGAATCCCCGAATTAGATCTTCTTGAAGAGTTGAGCACCATCCTTGAACACTCGAGCGGTCGCCATGCAGAAGCTCCCGAGTAGCATAGACGCCCCTGCAAAGCACATCAACCCAGTGAACCTGTCCCCTTCCTGGTCTTTGATCGCCCCTTCGATGGGAAGCCCAGTCAGAGCGCCCAAGGCAATACTCAGACAAAAGCCTCCCAACTTGAACCCGATATCATCAACCCGGTCCTCTGCAAGGGAAACAACACACGGAGGGCCTAGGCTAACGAAACCGCCACTGGCGAACCCGAAGAGCAGGGCGAAGACTATGATGCCACCTTGAGAGGTGTGAAACTCGAGGGGAAGCCAAAAAGCTAGAACAAGAGCTCCGGAGAAACCAGTCACCATGACCATGGTGTTAAAGTGACCGATCCTGTCACTGATCCAGCCAGGCACGATACGACCAAACAAAGAACCGGCGTTGGCAATGGCCAAGGTATACACAGCGAAGTCCTTGTATCCGTGAAGCGAGGCCATCTCTGGGAGGTAGTTCAGGGGTGCGAAGAGTCCCCACATGGTGAAGAAGCAGCCAAGGATGAAGAAAACCCAAGGTCCTCTCTTGGGTCCGTTGGTTCCACTGCTGGGAGCGTTCTCTCCCTTTGTTGGTCGCGAGACTTTGCCAAGAGGTGGGAAAGGAGAAGTGCAGAGAGCATTGGCGATGACCAAGAGGACTCCTTGCAAGAGTGCAGTCCAACGAACAGCAGTTGCGAAGCCGACTTCTTCGATGAGTCGAGGGATCATGCAAGGGTATATCACACCACCTGAGTTCACGTTAGCCGGCTCTGCCGATACTAGTTCTTTATCTTACCCAGACTGCTCCCACCAGAAACAATACCGACAGCCAAGCCCTTCTTTGTAGAGAACCATTGAGTGGCCGTTGCCATGGCGGGAAGAGATAAACCAGCAGCCGCCAGCCCAAAAGCGACACCCTGAGCAAGCATAACTTGCCAGTACTTTGTACAAAGGCTCAGCATGCAGACGGAGAATACAGCCATGATACTGAAGGGGAGTAGTGTCTTGCGGCAGCCATAGACGTCGATCATCTTGCCAACGGCGGGGCCGAACATGAAGAGCATAAAGATCTGGAGAGTGGTAATCCAAGCCAAGGCCGATGACGGCTGGTTCTTGAACATGACTTCCGAGTAGTACAACTGAAACATGCCGCATCTAATATCAAAGGTCAGTGGGCGTTTCTCATAATGGGAGAGGCCAAACTCACGCGTTGACGTAGCCGATGGAGCAGAACTGCAACAAGAACGATCCAGCGACACAAGCCCATGCTCTCGCACCTCCATTGGGGGGGATTCGGTCGCTGTTCTCGGTTGGCTTGTTGCTCTCGAGTTCAGGGGAGTCGGACACGGCGGGGGAGTGCATCTTTTCGCAGAAGTCGTTGAGAAGGAACTTGACGCGATAGTAGGTAGGAGAAAAGGCCGAGCCGATTCTTTTGACTTGAAATGTTAGGAGAACAATCGGGATAAGCAGGAGACAGAGAAAGAGATTCATGGTGAGAAGTTGTTGTCTCTTATGTCGATTCGAGGGGTTTATTCGGATTGGTTTCGTACGAGATCTGAGCCAGGTTAGGCCGAGTATCGAGATTCAAAACATGCAACTTACTGTCTTGACCAATATGATTTTGCTCAGTCTTCACTAACATGGAACCTCGCACGAACTTGACCTCGTACGAACTCCACGGCCGAAGACTAGACTAGGACAGGGGTGTAAGTCAACAGCCGCTAAACCCAATCCATCGTAGGATTCGAAGGACCCCTGTCAAGAACTGTCATCCATCTTCAACCTCATTTCCCGATTCTTTGCAACTCTCTTCTAGTTTGCCACTATTTTTGTTCAATATCATTACAGCTTTGGCCTTGATATTCTTATCTTTGATTTTTAGCCCGATTGATGATTTGTCTCGACAGACTTGTTAATATCTACTGGTGACATTTCACTTGGATGTGTAGCAGATGCATGTTGCAATATCTGCTTGAGATATACTAACGGCTATACTATCGTACGCTTGATTTTTAAACCCAGATACCGTCTACTCTGACTCGAGATCGATACCCTACCCGTTTTGTGACAACTACCTATCTCAGCGCTTACTCTGTTGGAAATGTAATCGTACAGTGTTCCGCTAAGGCTCATGTCGGCGAACTGTGATCCGGAAAGCTTCTTTATAATTTCGAGGAATGGGAGCTTGTCCCCGTATATGGCAATGCGCTCGCCAGCCTCAAGTTGAAGTCTAGGCAGTCGGCATTTTACGCATGCACTGTAGACGTATGTAGCTGTGGTAAAGTCGGTCAAGGACGATGGTGACAAGCTGTTGTTTTCCTAATATATGTAGTGATGGAGGCACTCAGATATATGATATAAGATTGGTATGAGAAAGTTCACGGGTCCAGTCGTTTGAGCAGAAAGAAAGAAAAAGGTGAAGAAAAGAACTGAGAGAAAAGGTTGTGAGCAACGGGGAGTCCTTGTTTGGCAAACATGGCGTGGGTCCTGAATAAACAGCAAGCAAACAAACAGAATGCGAAACAATCACGCATTCACGATGGCGTAACACGGCTGGGATGTGAACATCAATAGTCTTGGTCGCAAAACAGGTGATATTTGCTGGCGAGTCCCGGTTCGCTCTATGCACGCCTTGCATAAATATACGCTCACCACTGCATCATTGACTAAAACTACTCCTGCCCTCGTTTTATCAAACTATTCATCATTCTTTCTTTAGGCACCATATTATGAACAAGTTTTCCCAGACTCTTTCGGCGCCTGCGCCCCGCGGGCGTTCAGCAGATGAGAAGCTGAACACTTCTCCAAACGAGACGCTTCAACTACTAAGCCATTCTTCATCGGTCGAAGACGCCAGGTCCGGCATTTTCTCTTGGTAGCTATTGCTCTTATAAACTTTTATTTAGCGTATTTGAGCCGTTTGATCCTTCGATTCCAGGGCGTCACGCCCGGAACTGCAGCATACAGTGTCAATCAAGTGACAACGAACCAACAACTTCCAGCGTTGGTGACACTGCATTGACAATGGACAATGACGCAGACTCCCGAGTACAGCTGTATCTAGGAGACGCATGCAATCTAAAATGATTACCTATGTGTTTCACTGCCGCCTATCTACTTAGCTTACTTTATGGGAGCCCCTTTTGTTTCCTGGACCAGCTCCAAGAGAACTGTAGCAACTGTCGTTACGGACAGTCTTGAACTAGGCAGGATGTTTGGGGGAAACTAGGTATGGACGGGTTGGCTCTGTCAAACCCTTTGTACCCTACCCACGTTGTGATTGCCCCTGACTGGTGGTTGACGGGCATCCAAGAAAAGGGTAGTCACGTGCAGTATTCCCAGTCACTTCAATGGATGGAACTTCTCCGAGTTCCAGTTGCTGCCTGAGGTCGACTCACAACTTACCTAGGTATGTCACATCAGACGCTCCAAGGTACCTTCCTTTTTGGAGCTTTGGGCTGAGGCAGCCAGTCCCTCACTATCATGTTGAGACAAACCATCAGCTTGGTGAACAACTGTATGTCAAAGTTTGCTGTCATGTAGCTGGTACCGTAAACAAATAAAAAGATGTTGCAATAAAGACACAATCACTGAGGCATTCTCTCGTTCTTTTAATCAGTAAATTAACGCCGGTCGCTTGTTGTGACTCGAGACTTCCTCCGGCATGACTTTCGTATTGGACTGTTGATTAATATGTTGTGACTGATGCAGCTCCTTAGATAACTGCAAGATCTCTGTGACATTCTGTAAATCCAAGTTAAAAGCAAAGATCAAAGCTTTCAGCGGTCATATAGTAACTCTGGTCCATGGCCGTAACGCTGTACCCGTCGCCGCGAAAGAGTTCCCAGCAGTTGGAGTCTGGGTCCATACGCTACTTCACCTTCTTTCGAGTCCGCATCAAGACCTTGCGAGATATTCTCACTGACAACATGAACTTGGCCAAGGTATATAGATGGACTGTATTCCGGGGGTACTCTCAGCTAATATTACATGGGTAAGACTCCTTCCCACAACCCCTCGTGATCATTCATATACTGACAAACTTCATCCCCATATGCGAGTCAGTTCTGTTTCAGCCATCATTACATGTCCATCGTTTCATCATGTTCATCGCTACATTTCCGTAGCCCATCGTTCCAAAAGGATCCGTCGTGTCGTTAGAGACCATTGCGGCTTACCAGCGGTAAACACCGGGCGGGTAGTTGGCCAGGTCGAGGTTGATGAGACCATCGGCTCCGATGATCTTGAGTTTGCCGTTGCTGTCATAGGACTCGTCGTCTGTCCCAGCGTCGGCCTCATCCTCACTCTCTTCAGCTTCGGAGTCTTCATCTTCAGCGTCGGTCTTCGGAGTCTTCAGCGTCGGTGTCTTCAGCGTCGGTGTCTTCGCTCTCGCTTTCAACAGCCACCTCGCTTCCGGCTTTGGGTGCTTCCTCGAGCTCGGTTTCCTCAATGGACGCCTCTTCCTCCTCGCCCTCTCGGTTAATCTTGACCCAAGCACCCTCACGGCGGGCGACATAAGCCTTGAAGCGCTTGATATCTTCCTCACGCTCAGCATCAACCATCTCCATGAGTTTGTCGTTGGCGGCGATGTGATAAGTGCTAGCGAAGCGCACTTGGTCTGCAACCCACTCAAAGTCGAGCTCGGGGTACAGGGGCTCAAGAACACTGTGGCTGTAGGCCAGCATGTAGGCGGGCTCCATGTACGGGAAGAGGCTCTCCATGTACTCAGTAGCCTGGTTCTTCATCTCGTCGATTTCACTATAGACTGCCTGCGAATAGACGTGGATGGCAAGATCATAAGCCTGTTCGACGTCCGGGCGGTGAGTGAACTTGTGAACCTCATGAAATGGGACTTTTCCAGTGTAGAAGAAACGGATCATGGAGACGATGGCCTCCGCGGTAGCGTATGGCAGTGAAATGATGCCCCATTTCGTGACTCTCTCAAGGAACTTAGGGCACGTGAGGAGGATTGCCTCAACGTGGACGAACTCAACAGTTGGTCCTAATTCGCCTCCTGCCATCGAGCCAAAGTAGATGGCAACCTTGCCGCTAAGGTCATCTGTTGTCAGTACCTTTTGGCGTAAGTTGATAGAAGTGTCGACTTACCCCTCGCCAGTCAGTCGCTGGGCAGGTCCAGGCTCATTCATGTTTTCTGTGCCTTGGAGTGAAGGCAGTGACCTAGGTTAACTTTAGCACACGCAAAGAAGAGGAAAAGGAAACAAAGAATAGGCAGAAGTGGAAAAGGGCACTCACGCTTTTGTTTGTTGTTGCAGTAACGTGGAGAAGTTGACTTCGAGCGGAAGTCGAAGAATGTTTTGAGGGTGAAGAGAGGAGAGAGGGGAAGAAGCTCGAACGCGAGAGAAATGTTTTGATATACTGCGGGTAGTGCGATTTGGCGTGTGACGAAAAAGGCATTGGTGCCCTGGTGACCTATTTTACAAGGCACACCACACTAACGAAACGTCATTGGCCTCCTAAACCAGACTCTCATACGCTACTCCTGGAATTCAGGTATCTAGTCCTCTAAAAGCATCCTCCATGAGCACTGAGTGCTTGTCTATAGGCCCCATGCCCTCACAGGAATATGTATGTGTGCTCTCTGCTACTATCCCCCTCAATACACTCCAACATATCTTCCCATCCCGTCTCCCAATCTTCATTCACAGCACATCGGCCCTTCATAATGTTCATCTTTCCCTTGCATTATCATCCCTTCGTACCAGTCTCGAAAGGGACAAAGCAGACACATCTGTGACTCGACTGTGCATCGTTGCCTTCGAGTGACGCTGACAACTCTGAAATCCGACAAGCGTTACACGCGCCTCACTCTTTCGATTATGCATATTATCACTCTCTTCACCAGGGTCATAACATGAGCACCGCGTATGCATTTATACTCCAGCCCCTGACTGACGTCTCCCGCCTGATATCTCCAACTAGTACGCAGTAAGTGACTACCCCAAGTCTCCGACGTGCCTCTCGGTGCGTAGCGCACTTGAAGTTCTTGTGTTGATCACATGGCTTCCATAAACGCAGCATCATAGCAGCTGAACTCCTCAGCGACCATTGGACACTCGGCCCCCTGAACCTCTTAGCACAACCTTAACCACCGGGAGGCATCAGACCTTACCATGTCGTCAACTGGGATGCTACGGCTTGCCACGGATTCTGTAACCTCTTTCACAGGGCCCTTGGCGTCTCCAGAAGACCTCAAAGTGCTTCAAGTCTTGAAGCGCTTTGTCGAAAACCGCTGTGTTCCATACCAACCTAGCATACCTCGCAACATGATCGATCACTCATCATTACCTTCTCCCCATACACTTGGATCTCTCAGGGGCATTTCGTTTGGCACGCAGTTTGTCTCTTTAGTTGTGGCTTCGTCCAGACCACCTTACTAACAAGATCGCTACAGAACCCTTCAGCAGCACTGCCTCCAAAAGTATTCAACCCGCTGGAAGACCATCTTGATCGATACGACAACCGCAAAGAGGTCTCCCTTCCTCTCCATTAGTCACTTCTACTGCTATTGGCCTCGAAGCACTCTCCTCGGGTAGCAATAGATCGTAAAGCGAGGAACGCACCCCAGGAGACGAGCTCCTTGTTGAAGCACCGAGTTGCCATGGATCGCCCCTGAGTTAGACAAAGACAGTCCCTTGGACCCTTAGAGCACTAAAGTAACTCATTATTGCTCTCAATGGAAGAAAACACCATCGTTTGGGCTTGCTTAGACCGCAGCGGCGCTCCAGCTCTGTTTTGACACTATCAGGGGCTGGCCTAGTTCGATACACTCGATCGCCGGAGGCCTTTCCACTCCCACAAGACTGCCGCTATTGCAGCAGGCCTATACTCTTGATATCTTGACGACAGCAGCCAAAGAGCTTCGAAGTCAAAGAGGTTCAGGGGTTGAGCGCCCTTATTCCGAGGCATGCATTTATGTACAAACGTCACTACTCCATCAGGGACTTTCACTATTCCGTCTTTCTCTCACAGATACTCTTAGAGCAGTAAGATAACCTAAGTGAACATCTCTCCGAATGTCGGAAGTACTTGATGGCAGAGTAAACAGCGGGCTCGGTTTGTATTCTTCTCGACACAATGGGCATCCAGGATTCCATCCAGTTTCTATTCTTTAACCATTCCATTTGCATCACCGCTGACCTGCGCTGTCTGTATAGCTAGTATTGGCACACTTCTCCTATGATCAAGGTCGACGATCCCCCATCACCCTCGAAGCTCCCGCCGCAACTATGTCTTCGCTGACTTATATGGAAACCACCCTTCAAAACCTATCCCAAGTTCGAAACAGGATACCTATTTCTTCCCAAGCTTCCACCCCATCAGGCCGAACCGCTCCCCTGATCCAAGAGAAACATGCTATCAGAAGGCCGCTCCTCCTTAACGCCAATACTCCGTTTGCGAGGTTCCAAGCCCACCACCGGGATCCCAGCATATCTCAAGTCCAATTCAGTCTCAATGAACTTCTCTAGCATCAGCATTCTGGTTCCAATGCAAATTGGCGGTCTGTTCTGTTCTTTTTTGACGGAATCACTGCGAGCTCCCCTGCCCCTGAGTTTCGAAGCCCGGTGAACTTGTTGCCATTGGACTACGCCGGCCGTCATATTGCGAAACAGGAATCTTGAGAGCATCTTCTTTTAATCGCATACTCAGACCCAGACATTCTGGAAGATTAGAGGATATGTCGACAAGACGTCTCTCAAGTACCAAGATTTGTGTCAGAGCGATGAAGACTCGAGCAGGCAGACCTTGTCTTTGGCTATGCTAACGCAAGTTTGCTGTGAGTATCTGAAAGGCACCCCGACAGACTTTTGGTGAAGTATCACGCCAGTTGCTCTATACATCGTTTCAGTCCGCGATAAAGCAATTCACTGCCGCTCTGGCGGCCTTGGGCCAAAGAGCGAATAGTCTCCTCTTGACCGATAGCTGGAGACTTGCCTGTAGTATACATTTAGTGGCTTCTATTTCCACATGTACGCGAGCTTATCGAATACTGATATGACAATAGAGCAGGGACATTTTCCAGACATAGATAGGATGCAATAACAGGTAAATGATCCATTAGATTGACTTGAGAGATATGCTGCCACGGGCCGTCGACAAGAGTAGAGGATGCTCAGCTGTCTTCCTGGATGCAGTTCATCCTGTGACGTATGGTAGGAAGATAGAGATCCTGCCTTTGTAATGTGCAGAGGGAAGTTCTGAAGAACAAGCAGTCGTTCAGGTCGGTCTTTGGCATACCCATAAGGGGGCCTGACAGAGCTCTTGGATGTTTTATGGTCGAATACTCTCAAGTTTACATTTGCATGCCAAGATGGGATAGCAGATATGAGAGGTCACAGCAAGCTGTGGGAAGACTTTTCCCGAATGCCCCTTATGGTGGTGGGATATGCACGATCCGCTGGGTGAGTCCTTGCTTCTCCTTGTTCAGGTCTGATTCATCCCTCATTCTTTGAAGGGGGCATTTTCTCTTGATGCATTTCTGTTCTCGAGGGGTCTGAGGTTCCTCTCAACAAGCGGTGATGTGAGACTTCGAGGCGGTCTGCTGAGTTCAGTAGAGTAATGATGCTAGCCCCAAAGCCAAGCTAAGAAGCCGGTCTCGTTTCGTACTTTTTGCTTCCCCCTTGCAAGAAGACCCTTGCCAACCTCGTCAATTATGTTTTCCTCCTCGTTTGGGCTACTATACTTTCGGTCTTTCTCATAGCATCGACGGTTTGATCCACGTATGAGGCGGAACGCAAATATCGTAAGTGAGGCATTCCTGCGCTAACGAGGGTTGTGGTGTTATTGAGTACATGTTCCTATAAGAACAATGCGTGAGCGAATTACCGGGTATGGAGGATAGATGCCATTTACTTTGTGGCTAATCAACATCTTTCGGTTCGCGGTTTATATTACCCTTCCTCGTTTCCTTTAAATAGTGTAGAGACCTCTCAAGTCAAAATTGAGACTCCCTCCGCTATTATATCCCCCGATGGTACCTTATTCTCGAGTCAAGGCTTAGAATCAAGCTCTTAGGTCCCGACGCACCGGCATCTTTGGAAAGGATACAGCATGCTTCAACCCCATGGGTGGTGCTTCTTAGGGGCCAATTCGATGCATGGTGGGAAAGTACTTTGCCGCGGCTGTCATGCTTTCTTTCTGGGACTTACGTCCTGAAACCCATTGCCTAGTGGCCAACATCTTCCAGGTCTGGATACGGAAACGCATGTCATACCTTGTCTCTTGTAGGGGTGCGAGAGGACGCGAAGTAAGTGAGCTTCGGACTGTCGGGGCTCTTCTGGAGGCCGCGTAGCACATGGCTGATCCTTGCCTTGGGCTCTAGAGCCTTGGGGTTCGGGTCAGGGTCCCAGAACACCAGGTGATAGCCTCTCTGGGCCTTGACGATGGCTATAACGGAGCAGTGCCAGGGGATCTTATCCTAGTCCTCCCGTGAGACATAGCTACCCTTGGTTTTACCCTTCTCTTTACCCTTTATTTTACGGTTGAAGCTAAGGACCTTCGGATGTACATAGAGTTTCGGGTCGCGCTTAGACCATTTGACCAGGAATACGTTAGTATTAGATGCTAACTTCTTAGGGTTTTTCGGTAGTAAAGCATCTATATCCTACGGTAAGTGAGGTATAGCAGTATAGCTGTAAGTAAGGATTATTATTAGTAACGCTTATAGCAGAGGGGATCGATAAATATACCTGGAAGGTTCTCCTGGAAGGGGAAGCGTTATATAGGGGTAAAGATATATATAGCTTATAGTAGAGATACAAAGGTGGTGGAAGGAAGAGGTTGCGCTAGCCGAGTCTACCTATGTAGTAGGATTTTGCAGCAGGCGTTGTTGAAGAGGAGAAGCTTTGACGTCAGGCGATGAAGAGGTGTATGCGATGAAAAGCTACCGGGCCAAGGTCGGTGTCAAGGAGAGGGGAATATCATCAAGTCTCTGGATCGAATGCCAGAAGCAGCTTGATCAATTAAAGAAAGTCAGAAGCAATTCTTTTTAAGGATGTAATCGAGGTTATAGTGAGAATATGATCGAGAGGCAATTGAGGGTGGTTTCAAATAGAGTCCATAGGCCAGCAATTCGTTGCTTTCTTTGTCTCTTATGGCTTTCGAAGCTTCCCAGGGCGAATGGAGAGAG